GGTCAACCTTCGCCACATATGACAGTCTGGTAGACATTGTTGGATCGCTCTCACGGAGGCAAGTAATAATATAGTCCATAGGGTGCTCTAGAAAGGGTTCCATTGAATAACGACTGATAAAGTGCTGCTGAAAACAGCAGCTAACCTTCGAGCAGATTCTTCAGGTACATTCTCTGCTCGTCAGAGAATCTTAGCAGTGCTGGGTCCAACTCATGCCCCACGTGTCCAAGACAGCCTCTTGTGATTACCGTTCCGTCTTTGCTGAATACCGTAGTCAAATGACACGAACAATATTGAACGTCCTTTCTGGTTTTATTTTTTTTCCGCTTCGTCGCTTTAGGTGTGTGTACACCAGCTCTGTTGCACCTGAATCAAAAGGTAGTAGGTCCATTGCTAAGTTTTCCTTGTCAACTAACAAAAACTAACTAACAAAAGTCTTTGTTTGATAGAAGTAGATGAAGTTTCTGTGTGCGCTACGGCGAACGAGCTGCATGTACGTTCACACACTTGCATATACCATTGCTAAATAAGATGTTTCATTGGTAAAGTAGTTGAGCGGTGACGCCCCACGACCATTCCCTTAGACCGCGTTCAGACTTCGCGATCGCGCATTAAAACTGGCTCTGTGTAAACGCGGCCCAGTTCGAATTCTTCCGTTGCGGTGGAGCGCGCGGTCATAGTCGCGCAATCCAATCGAACGATTCGATCGCGAACCGTGGTCTACGGGCAACTTCAACAAATCCCTCGTCGCGTCAACTTTCTGTTCTGCGCTCTCACATCTGCATAACACTCTGTGACTACTGCGTCCTCAGATATACCAACTTTATGCATGATAAGTGTCCATTCCGATATGCCCTCCACTTAAAAAGCTCATCCACTGCCCATGACATGTTTTTGCACCTTCTGATGGCTTGGCAGCCACAGTCCTCTATTTCACTGCCCTGTCACCTTTCGCGCGAGGTCCTCCAAAAGAGTTCTCACGAACCACCGCTTAGACTTAGAGCGCACACGACCAAGGTGGTAGGAAGTAGCGCAATCAGATAATGGACAACGGCTGCCAAAGTACTGAAAAGAACGAGAGAACAATGGCGAGCAAGGAAATTGGTATTTTTCAAGAGGAAGGGACACCAGGGTACGTGAGCCATTTATAATACAGCAAAGCTGGAATGTGTGTCACGATCCTCATAAGCGCCATGCAGACGACCGGAAATTTGAGCAGCCTGCAGCGACTCTTGACATCTGCGCTCCGAGCCTACATTTCATTTGGTTGAGAAAAGGGACGTCAAAGCGTGAAACGTGGGCCCGCTTCATTATGCTCTAATTCGCTGCGGATGAAGGGGCCTGTCAAGCAGTATGAGTGGAGCCAATTCTCTACCAGTAGTTGAAGCGGGTATGCGACAACAGTTGGTAGAAAACGAGTGATACGAACGATATGATACAGTCTTGTCACTTGCTCGCTTCAGCAGCTGGTGGAGAACGAGTTTGACACCGCCCCAGATCATCCCGCATAAACGCCCCTTGGTCCAGGGCGCAGCGAACTGCAGTATGCATCGCCATCAGTCTTTTTAGTTTTATAGTACTAATTACAAAGTGGTAATCACATCTACAAACCTCATATTCATCACGGCTTTCAAAGCTGATTGAAAAATAAGTGTAGTCTTGTGGACGTCCTCCGGCGCCATTTTCAGAATGGGTCAATTTACAGTGGTGAGCCAACCCACCGTGACTCAAAAAATTTTCGTTACATAGTGGGCAGGTGACTTTAGCTGATCCGGTTTCTCTGCTGATTTGTTCGCGGATTTGCCACAACTCTTCCGCGTTTTTATGATGAACTTTTTTCAAGTGGGCATAAATATTTTTCTTCAGAAATATCTTCCCACAATCCGGACAGGCCGCGCGAGAATAAGTAGGCATTCTGAAAAATAAACAAATAGTGAGACGTACCAGAGAAGCGTTTTTTCAAGAAACCGTAAAGAATGAGAAGTTGAAAAAAGAAAAATGTCGTACCCGTAAAGACTGAGATGTTGAAAAAAAAGAAAAATGTAGTACATGGATTCTACGATGACATTCCAAATCCCCTGCGTCGACGACATTTTCCTTCTCCGCCTTAACCGGGTCTACTTTGTAAACGTGAGGAATTTGCGAAATGGAAGAAGTTGTTCAGACCAGAGGGGTTTCTATGCGAATCGCCTGGGCCCGCCCATTAGGCAGCGTTCAGACTTCACGACGGCAGTGCTTCGGTCGCGCGTCCGACGCAGTCGAAGGAATGCGCATCGATCGCGTCGGAGGCGCGAGAGAAGCGCTGCCGTCTGAGAGCGCGTTCAGACTTCGCGATCGCGCGACTGGGATCGTCCGTTGGGATGGGTGAAATTCAAACAGAACGGTAACTTCAGTAGGCGAACAAACAATTTTCGATCAAATAAGGATCTGTTTAGTTACAGAGACGGCACGACTGTATCGGAATGGGAAACAGAATGCCTAGAGTCGTTCAGGTTTCACCTACAATTTTATTCTTGGAGGGCTTGGATTTCGTTCTCGTACTAC